GAATTGAACAATGAGATCACTTGGACACAGGAAGGGGATCATCACACACTGGGTCCTATTGTGGGGAGGGTGTGGGGGAAGGGACAGCATTAGGAGATATACCTAATGCAAATGACGAGTTAATGGGTGCAGCACACCAACATGGCACATGTATACATATATAACAAACCTGCACGCTGTGCGCATGTACCCTAGAACTTAAAGTATTAAAAAAAAAAAAAGTCTGTACTCCCCAAAGCAATCTACAGATTCAATGCAATTGTGATCAAAATACCAATGACATTCTTCACAGAATTAGAAAAGAGAATCCTAAAATTTATATAGCACCACAAAAAAAGCTCAGAATAGCCAAAGCTATCCTGAGCAAAAAGAACAAAACTGGAAGAATCACGTTACCTGCTTTCAAATTATACTACACAGCTATAGTAACCAAAACAGCATGGTACTGGCATAAAAACAACAGACACATAGACCAATAGAACAGAGAACTCAGAAACAAACCCACATACCTACAATAAACTCATTTTCAACAAAGGTGCCAAGAACATACACTGGGGAAAAGACAGTCTCTTCACAGTAAACGGTGTTGGGATAAATGGATATCCATAAGCAAAAGAATGAAACTAGACCTCTATCTCTCACCATATACAAAAGTCAAATCAAAATGGATTAAAGACATAAATCTAAGACCTCATACTATGAAACTACTATATGAAAACAGTGGGGAAACTCTGCAGGACATTGGTCTAGCCAAAAATTTCTTGAGTAATATCCCACAAGCACTGGCAACCAAAGCAAAAGAAGACAAACGGGATCACATCAAGTTAAAAAGCTTCTGCACAACAAAAGAAACAACAAAGTGAAAAGACAACCCACAGAATGAGAGAAAATATGTGCAAACCATCCATCTGACAAGGGATTAATAACCAGCATTATATAAAGAGTTCAAACAACTCTATAGGAAAAAATCTAATAATCTAATTTAAAAATGTGCAAAAGATCTGAATACACATTTCTCAAAAGTCCACATACAAATAGCAAACAGGCATATAAAAGGTTCTCAACATGATCACAGAAATGCAAATCAAAACTACAACGAGAAATCATCTCACCTGTTAAAATGGCACTTATCCCAAAGACAGGTAATAACAAATGCTGGTTAGGATGTGGAAACTCACCAGAAAAGGAAACTCTCATACACTGCTGGTGGGAATGTAAATTAGTACAACCCCTCTGAAGAACAGTTTAGAAGTTGCTCAAGAAACTAAAAATAGAGCTAGAGCTATCATATGATCCAGCAATCCCACTGCTGGGTATATACAGAAAAGAAAGGACATCAGTGTATTAAAGGGGTATCTGCACACCCATGTTAGTTGCAGTGCTGTTCACAACAACCAAGATTTGGAAGCAACCTAAGTGTCCATCAACAGATGAACGGATAAAGAAAATGTGGTACATACACACAATGGAGTACTATTCAGTCATAAAAAATAATGAGACCTTGTCATCTGCAACAACGTGGATGAAACTGGAGGTCATTATGTTAAGTGAAGTTAGCCAGGCACAGAAAGACAAACTTCTTTCTGTTTGTCTTTGTTCTCACTTGTGGAAGCTAAAAATTAAAACAATTTAACTCATGGAGATGAAGTGTACAAGGATGGTTACCAGAGGCTATGAAGGGCAGTAGGGAATACAGGAGATGGTTAATGGGTACAAAAAGTAGAACGAATGAATAAGATGCATTAGTTAACAGCACAATAGGGTGACTACAGTCAATAATTTATACATTTAAAAATAACTAAAAGAGTGTAACTGGATTGTTTGCAACACAAAGGTTAAATGCTTGAGGGGATGGATACCCCATTTACCATGATGTGATTATTACATATTGCATGTCTATATCAAACTATTTCACATACCCCATAAATATATACATCTACTAAATACTCACAAAAATAAAAAATAAAATAAAAATAAAGGTAATAAATCCTGAAAAAATGCAGTAGAAAAATGATGATCTAGAAAGAAGTTTACGGTACAGTAAATGAAAAAAGCAGAATATGCACATGTGTACAAAATATTACTGAAAGGTTTACAGAATGTTGGTACGGCAAGCAAAATGTTGGTAGGGTAAAAAAATTATGGGTGATAGTTTTTTTTTCTTTTGTTTACCTATACCATTGAACTTTATCACAATAAGGTCTTTTGTACGAATTAAAAAACAAAACACAAAGTTTTGTTTATTTTTTAAAATAACTGCTTACCTTCAAAAAGGGAATGACTTCTTTCATAATTGCTTTAATTTGCCGGTCCAGCTGCTGAGTATCAATTCTAGGACATGGGACGGTAGAAACTTCACTTACAGGTTGTTGTGAACTATGATTTTCAATAATGGGAGTTTCTAATTTTTAAAAAGAAAACGATACATTAGCATAAAAAAGCCTATTATATATATATATATGCCTTAATGTTGAAATTTAAAGAATATTAAATTCTGATTTTATGCTAATACAAAGAAACATGTTTGTACTTTTAGCACCCCTATCAATTAAAGTAGTAAGAAAACGACTATATCACATATTTAAAATTTTTATACAGAATTAGTACTTCTAATCAATAAAACATATACCTTCTAAATCGAATAACTGAAATCACAAAAATTCTAGAAGATAACACCGGAAAAATCCTTCTAGACACTGACTTAGGCAAAGACGTCATGACCAAGAACCCAAAAGCAAATGCAATAAAAACAAAGATAAACAGATGGAACTTAAATTAAAAAGTTTCTGCACAGCAAAAGAAATAATCATCTGAGTAAACAGACAACCCACAAAGTGTGAGAAAGTCTTTGTAAACTATGCATCTGACAAAGGACTAATACCCAGAATCTACAAAGAACTCAAATCAGCAAAAAAAAAAAAAAAAAAAAAAAAAAATCCCATCAAAAAGGGGGCTAAGGCCAGGTGTGGTGGCTCACAGCTGTAATCCCAGCACATTGGGAGGCCGAGGTGGGCGGACCACTTGAGACCAGGCGTTCAAGACCAGCCTGGACAATATGCTGAAATCCCATCTCTACTAAAAAATACAAAACTTAGCTGGGCTTGGTGGCACATGCCTATAATCCCTGCTACTTGGGAGGCTGAGGCACGGTTGAGCCTGGCAGGCAGAAGATGCAGTGAGTTGAGGTTGTGCGACTGCACTCTAGCCTGGACAACAAAGCAAGACTGTGCTCAGATTAAAAAAAAAAAAAATAGTACTAGTAGTAATAGTAGGCTAAGGATATAGACTATTCTCAAAAGAAGATATAGAAATGGCCATCAAACATATGAAAAAATGCTCAAAATCACTAATTATCAGGGAAATGAAAATCAAAGCACAAACTACAATGTGATACCATACTACTCCTGCAAGAATGGCCATAATTTAAAAATAAAAAAGTAAGAGACGTTTAGTGTGGACGTGGTAACAAGGGAACACTTTGACAGTGCTGGTGGGCATGT